GGTGAACCAGGAAAACCTGGTGCTCCAGGTGATGCAGGACTTCAAGGACTGCCAGTAGGTATCTGATACTTTAAATGTGAAAGTCCTATTCAGTTCAAACACAAAGAAGAGACCAGTTTCTCAGATGCACTTGTGCCAGCTTTTATGCCTCATCATACCTTGAGTGGAAAAACTGAGTGACTGGCCCAGGGAGGATAACTCCAGTGCAAGGGTGATCCTGAAGTGTATAGCCAAAATAGAGGGTTGCACACAAAACAACCTCCTGGCTGTCAGCATAATAGGGAAGTAGTTTACTAAAAAAGGGTGGACCAACATGCAACTTCCTTGGGAGTTCTTTCTGGGCTAAGGGTTCAATGCCTTGTGGCTGTTACAGGCTGGCATAAATAACAGCCCGCAGGCTACTCTAACAGAGCACATAGTAGAAGGCATGGACATCAGGATCAGAACAGTGTAAGTAGAAGCTTTACACATCACCCCCTGACTCTGTGCACTGTGGGAATATCTGAGCATGTGGCCCAATAAGTTTTTAATTTTGCAAAAGTTTATCCAGGCAATGGAGTTTACTAGACCTTGTCTGATAGTAGGGGTGTCTGAGTGTGGTTTAGTTTTAGTATAAAGGAGTTCATTTACAAATCAGTAGAATGCTATTTTCATTCTTTCTACCAATATTTATTCTCTATTCAATTCTTTTTACTAATCATCTCTTTATAATTCTATCCACCTATCTATCTAGGTTTATATACTTGCTCATCACACATTGAAATGAAAAGAGTTAAGTGCCTAAATAACTTTCGGAATCCCAACCCGAGTGCCTTATAAATTTTAACATAAGCCCAGAATTTCTTGTTGGTATTTATTTATTTGGTGTGGGGTTTAGATTTAATGCTGTAGGAGGTGAGACTTGTGGTCATCCTGAGGTGTAGGAGGCATTGCTATTGGGTTTTTTTTTTTGGTCTGTCTGAGTTATAGGATTGAAGATATATTCTGATATTTGTGTATTAGGATTTGATTTTGTCTTTATCAACACTCAGGGCTCAGTCCTCAGCTGTACTGATCTTGTGTTTGGGGCAGCTAAGGAGGTGAGGTAGTGAAAGATGGCCTTCTGCCTTTCCTAATCTTGGGACTGGCTGGGGGCTAATGTGATCCACAATGAAAGTTAGAGCAGCCTAAGGCTGGTTGAATTTACCCAGATGGAACAATCCCTTGTGGCTGTTCTGCCAGTCTAGGATTGCTGGAGTGCCCCATACTTCCTCCTGCCCCAAAATGTCCCATATGGAAGGGATGTGAGGGAGCTAGTGGCCAGATACACTCACTTTGTCAGTGAGGGATTTGTCTATGATAGGAGAATCTGCAGCTGTCCCATTATGGGGCTCTCCACACTTGGGTGTTATGAGGGTTTCATTTAATTCAAACAGTATAAATAACTAAGAACAAATTGAATCTACCATAAAATACATACATAAAAGGCATAGCACTGCTCTGTTGTTAAAATACACAGTGCTATTCTTAATCCATGTGGATTGGTCACAGTCAAGGAGACATATACCATTCCAGTAAATACATTTTTATGTTTAATCTTGTAGTTTGTAGATTTAAAATGTTGGATATGTTGGGAATATAGATAGTGCATAATGTTCCCAAATTAAAAAGCTTATTTCCTTTACATTTGCAGCTAGAGAAAAATTCAGCCTCCAATGCCAGGGTAAAGAATACTTCCTGCACTGGTTACAGTTACTTCTCTCACGATAATTGCTTATTTGTGTCAAACCAGTGTCAAGTGTTAAAAGCCCAACAGAAACTTTTTCAAAACATTCTGCTACAGGAGCAGATACTCAGAGAAGATATTGAAGGAACTAAGTTAAAATATCATTTGATGTACAGTTGCATTCTGAAGTTGGTTCTGTTTTTTGCTATGTTTTTTCCTAACTATAGAGAGCACTTGCTTTGAACGGTTGTATACAAGAGAGGGAATGTGGAGTGTAAACGAGAGAGGGGTTTTGTAGTCTGAGCATAAGATTGGAGTGGGGAGTTCTGGGTATTATACCCATTTCTGAATCGGGTAGTGGCAGTGACTCATGTTGTGACCCTGAACAAAGCACAATCTTTCACCTCTCTGTGCTGCCTTTTGCCTAACTATAAAATGGGGATAATACTATTTGCCTACTTCGCAGGGGGATCAGGCTTTATCAATTACTGTTTGGAAAGTGCATCAAGATCTTCAGGTGAAAGGACTCGAAAAGTATAAATTATGATTGCAATAATGTAAAGTTACATTTTTAACAACAGTTTCAGCAGGTGCTTTTTGTACATTTCTAAACTCTGTAATAACACACAAATGACATTTAAAATGTTGTTTCTTTTAGGGTTTACCTGGCTCCCCAGGAGCAAATGGTGTTTCTGGCCCAAAGGTAAAATAATTTAAATAATCTACTTCCTTTCCTCTAAAACTGGATTTTGTGTTTATCAAATTTTAAAATAGCCAGTGAAGTTTTGTTCACTTGTCATCGTGGTTAAATGAAAAATAACCATTGACATAAAAAATGATACATGCCAGATAAGTGAACAAAAACTTAATCGGTGGTTGGACTGCAGTTTTTGCAGTTCTTTCACTGTGACAATAGCATTGATCTTGCGTAAAAGATGAAAGAAGGTTTTGTTGATTCAAAACACTTAAAAGAAAATGTTTTTTTTTTAAATGCAGCACATAGTAATTCTGTGAAATTCACTGCAGAGGATATCATTGACACACATAGCATAGTACACTTCAAAAAAGGATTAGATATGTTAATAAGAACAGCATATGCAGCTTCATTAAATGGATAAAAAGACAAGAGCTTTCAATTCTAACAGTTCAAATAACTGAAAAATGGCTGTTCCAATTCTGCTCAAACTCTTCACGAATATTCACATAGGGCCTGAACAAAAAGCATTGAAAATTTCAGACCAAAAGAAATTTATTTGAGGAAAAACCATGAGTAACTCAAAAAAGAGATTAGACTGGAAGTTGGGATTCAATTTAAATATATGGCATGCTTCTGTGCATCCACTATAATTGGAGTCCCATCAGTGTGATTGGTTGCTGTACAAAAATAAAGGAAGAACTTGGTGGAATTGGATGGAGGAGAATCAGGTGGAGAATAAAGAGTAAGAGCAAAAATGGGTACAGCAAGTGGTTTGATTTCATTGCTTGTTAATTTCTTTGTTAATTCTCTTGAACTGCTATGGTAACTGGTAGCTTGGTATGGCTAACTTTTTCACCTTCCTGTCTAACAGGGTAATGCAGGTGCCCCTGGGATACCAGGTTTAATGGGAAATTCTGGTAAACCTGTAAGAACACTTTTCTTCTTTTCTGAATCTTTCACAAGAACATTTCTATTTTGTGCAAAGAGTCAGTTTTCAAACATACTCTGTTCTTATCATTATGAAAACAGGGTGAACAAGGACCACAGGGGATAGAGGGACCAATAGGACCAAGAGGTCCACCTGTAAGTACTTGACTTGTTTCCTACTGTGCATATTTGGAACTGTGATGTCTGATTGATGAACCCAACAATGTGGCATACATACTACTTATCACAAGTGCCAGTTACTTAAGGAAAACACTAAGCTCTAACTCCTTAGTCAAGTGGATGCGCATCAACCCACATTAAAAAAGCAGCTGTGCTCACAATTACAGTATATACAGATTCCAGCTGGACTCAAAACAAAACAATTGACACAATTATTCCACAACTTATTTTGGGTGGTGGTGGTGGCGAGTTTGAAATTGAAACATGGATCCTCATTTTGCAGCTAGTCTCTGTTTTCATAATAGGCTGAGCAGAATCCCCAGATTCAAACAGAAGGACCCATGGACGCACATGTAGAGACCCCCCTGGTCAAGAGTGGGAACCAAGCCCAAGATCGTCAACACCAGCAGCACAATCCCTACCACTAAAGCTAAAAAAGTAACCGTTTAGCTATCAGTAAAGAGCATGTTCTTATCCTTAGAAACAGACACCACCACATGTTCTGAGCCAGTGCTGTACACACACCTCCGGACATTGTGGCTTGGATCCTTTCTAATGCTTTTACTAGATATATTACTCACTGGTGGAGGGGGCTGGACAGGTAGTGCTTTGAACCATAGTAGTTCCTTCTGGTTGAAAATACTGGTGTTCCGAGGAGTATGTACTTTTGCTGGAGATTGCTTCCACAGCACTAGCCTACTTCAGAAAAACATACAAGAGATTTTGAAAGATTGCTAGTCCAGGGTAAGAATAAGCCTTGAAGGAGGGTGGGTTAGGAGAAGCAAGGAATTACACAGAGAAATATGCTGGCACTCATTGAAGTATAATGTTGAAGACAGAGGGACAGAGTCTATGCTGCGGATGAGACATGAGAGGTGGTGGCTGTAGGGGGCTGGTAACAGCTTTTTGATTTTCTCTCTCTGCTTCTCGCCTGGCCCCCGTCTTGGTCCCGAGAGAAGTTAGAAGAGCATGAGGCTGCTGTAACTTACTGGAAATGGTCCCCAACAGACTGTCTATGAATTGGGGATAGTTTTAATGCACTAGAATTCACAGTGTGAGACCATTTGCTGCTCAGAAGAACTCATGCTCCATGACCTCTGTTTGCAAGTTTCTCTCTTGCCATCCCACTCCAGAGGTGTTCACTTGGAGCCTTCAGGCCTTGTGCTGTGATATCACATTAGTGATTTACTTGTAAGGGGAACCAGGCAGGGAAACTGGCTCCTATAAACTGATTGCTCTCTGACTTTAAATATTCAACAAATCTCAGCTAAAGAACAAGTTTACTTTTCCTTTCTGTATGTTTCTGTGGTTTGCATTGTCATTTGCTGAATGTACTTTATTACAACACACTATTTTCTTTGGAACACACCTTTGCATGACTTTTGGCCATTGACTGTCCAGGAAGGATATAAAAATAGATAACATGAATATATATACTCAGCATGTTGTGACACACTATCTCAATGTTAAGCTTGCCATAACTATACTCACCAAAGCTTGGGTTTGTTGGATGCCTCCAACTGCGTTGTCTTGGATGGAAAGGAATTTGTTTTCTGAACTGTTCTCCTGGCATTGATCTCCTAAATATTTGAGAGACACATAAAAGTTATAGTTAGATCAAGAACAAAGTATCTCTCTACATTGACCATGCAAGATAATCTGCTAAACTATGCTTTTAATCCCATAACATGCAAGTATGAGTTTATGAAATCAGCAGTCCATAGAAACAGGAGTTGACATGCTGGGTTAATTATTAGTAACCCTGTTGTCAGACAGAAACACTCAATGCAGATTAAATATAGTGATTTTTCTGTTTGTCACTGCAGAGATCAGGGGAATGTGTTTCCCTCATTTTGTTTCATCATTCAGTAATGTAACAGATCCCATGGTTGCTCTTCAATGAATTATTTCTTCTTTGTCTTTCCTTCCCCTAATCTCTACTTTGGTCACCTCTTTACCACTTATTTTAGTTTCTTCCTTCCTCTCTTCTAACTTTTCCTTTCCTCAAGTCTACACTCTCCATCCTCCTACTGATCATTCCCTTCCTTTTTCTCCTCTCCTGGTTCCTTCTACTGTCAAAGGCCCTCTACTCATATTAAGCCCGTATTCCATGCACCATTCTCGTTCCAACCCCTGCTCCCATCTTCCTAGTGGAGGGTTCTGTGGCAGGAGTCAGGAGGTACCTGGAGTTCTTCCCTTTTTCTCTTGACAGAGAAGAGGAGAAGCCACCAAGAAGTCACTGCTATCAGGATCATTTTCTTAATAGGCCCAAGGAAGTGAGAGAACTAGGAAGCCACTGCACCTTCTCATGGGCTAAAAGGAAGGGGAGTCAAAAGGGTTGTGTTACTTCTGTCCTCTGCTTCAGTGCGGTGGAGAGACAACAAGGCTAGTAATTGCTGAAGGGCCGGGACACCCTTCAGTGTGGGATGATGGAGCCAACAAGATTAGCACTCCTCCAGTGTGCCTCTGTGGTGTAACTTGATATGGAGGGTGGGGGGTGAGATTCTTGTTTACAAATTTAAACGTGATTTTTTTCTATTTTATTAACAATATTCTCAGGCGGCCTCTTTATCTAAGCAGCCTGCAAGAGGCACTTACTAATGGAAAATTCCCATTTCTGCTGGCAAGTGAGTTTTCAAGCCCTGTTGCTGCTTCTGTGCACTATTAAATAATGGCTGCATTTCCCTCATTGGCGATTATATTTCAGTGGTGAAGAAGTAACACCTGTATATTAGAATCATAGAATATCAGGGTTGGAAGAGACCTCAAGAGGTCATCTAGTCCAAGCCCCTGCTCAAAGCAGGACCAACACCAACTAAATCAGCATATTGCTAACATATCAGTTTGGGAACCTTTGGGATGTAAGATGCTATATAAATAGAACAATTTTTATTATTAAAATCCACAGAAGAATATTGTTACCCTGGTTGTTAGCCAGTCAGTGCTCAGAAACCAGAGCTGTCATATCCAATAGCTTAAACATTTATAATAGTTTTTCAGAGGAGGTTTTAATGATTCAAAATGAAGATAATTAGATTACATAGTCTATTCCAACAACAGACAAAATATTTTTTATCTGTTTATTGGAATAGATCATACAATCTTATCTGCTTGACTACTCAAGATTTTCTGTATAGGAAAATAAACACTTGAGAAAATATAATCATCTAATTCTAATTTTAATTAGAAAATTGGTATGGGCAGTTGAGAAAAAAGCCTGTTATAATTTATGCGCTTTTTATGAAATATTCGACCTTCATTTAATAAAACAGGAAAATGACATGCTTACATTTGTAACAAGAGTACCGTGCAACTTGAATTTTTAACTTCCAATCAAACATAGCTTCTTTTCAATTGTAATTGTTTTGTCAGTTAACAGTATGTTTGCATCACATTACAAGTCATTCTAAATAATTACTGAACTTGTGGTTTAAATCCTTTTTAAACTGGTCATTGTGGTGGCCCAAAAGAAATAATTCTTAAATGTCAAAGTGTCAAGCCTAATCAGTGAGGTTGACTGTGTTCCCTTAAGTAATTATCTGCAATTTTTCCTCCCCACACATTTATTAAGATTTAGCAGCATTTAATTTTTCATGGTGAATTTATACCAGATACTTGTTCCTTTTGCTTTATTCCCAGCCTTTCTAGTTGGTTAATATTTTGGATAGTTCTGACTTTGTTAAATAGCTTGGTGTTTTAAGCTTTTATAGTAAGTTGAGTAAATAACCTGGAGATATGCATGAATATTAGCTTCTATATATTGGCTGTTTTTTAAAAAAATGTTTAGTATATACAGTAGTTTTTAGCTGAATTATTTTCTTTATCTGTGCTCTACTGCAAAGATTATTTTCATAGGTACAATTGTAAGACCTTTTTTTCAGCCTGAAATGTATCCTGGATTGCTGTACTAATTGTCCTATCACTTAAATCAACTTTTTGATACCAGGTCCCTTTACATGCCTGAAGTTTAAAAGTGGGTCCATTTTCTTCAGTTGGGCATCAACACGGTGGCAGGATAAGTAGTCCGATGTCTTCACCTTCCCAGGATGTACTGTGCATACACAGTTTTTTTGGCACTGCTCGTCTGTTTAGTCTTAGAGTTTCACAAATAATGAAGTTGTTTTTAAACAACCCCTAGGACATAGGGTAGTATTACTATTCCTATTTTAAAGATGCACAGATAGATTAACATCACACAGGATATGTGAAGCAAAAGAAGAACCCAGGTTTCCTGGTCCTCATTTCTAAGCCATTAGATTCTCCCTCCTGTGCCTGACTTGATTTTGAAAGGATAATGTCTTAGGCTATGCGATCACTTGGCACTTGCAATAAGTATATATTAATACTTATCAGAGTCCATAGTTCTACTGTATTAATATGCATACACACATATCTTTAAATATTCAGCCCAGGTAACTTTAAATAATGCTGGATGGTTAATGGAATGTCACCTGTATTCTTGACACCATACATTCCATGGATAATTGTTAGTGTAGCATTGGCAGAGAATGTGACATACAGAGGTGTGAACATCCTGTCTGACAGCATAAAACTGATATTAAGCCATTTGAAAAAGTTAGCTTTTTTTAAAGATTTTTAATTTTTTGCTGGCAGACTCAGTTAATTCAGGCTAGAGTGTGGCATGTGGGCTGGAGGGGAGGTGGAGGAGCCGTGCTACGGACAATGTCCCCAGGAAGAACCCTGTCTGGCTCATGGCAAAACTGCACACATTGCACTCAAATTTACCCCAAAGTGTGTTTATTCTATAGTGGAATAGTAAACGCTAACAGGGCTGGGTCCTTGCCTATCCTACCAGCTGTTTTGCATTACTGGGCCAGACGACTTGTCCCCTTGCATAGCCACCAATGCCCTTCTCTGCTCAGGTGCACCTGAGGATCCAGCACACAATGGATGGTGCCTTTTATCTGAGGCTCTGAAAGGACACTGGGGCTAGATTGTGGCCGGCCCCTTTACACACCAGCATGGCAGCTGCATCACCCTTGGAGAGTGTACCCCTCCTCACCCCTTTCCAGGCAGCTATCACCACAGTGGTGCTAGGAAACAGCATGGACTGGGCACATACTTGAGAGACACATAAGTTATAGTTAGATCAAGAACAAAGCACATTCTGCATACGAAGGTCACAATCCTGCTTCCAGTGAAGCCAATGTTAAAACTCCCACTAATTTCAGACAGGGCGGGAGTGGTCCCTCCACAACTTCAAGATGTGTAATATAAAATCTATCTGCCTTATATAAGAGATAAGATAAAACTAATGTGTATAAGTATGAGATGTTCTTTCTTGATGATCAGAACTGGTCATGAAGTCTTTGGTCCACATCCTCGGCCTGCCATCCAGCTGCTTTGCACTGGAGGAGCCAGGATGCTGTTGTAACAGACTATCTGGCGATCCTATGACATCAGGGCATCCCCAAGTAGCAAAATACCGCCTACTTCTGGCCCTTCCACCCCTGCCATGAGTGATGTGCTGGGGGCATGGCCAGAGCTTTTTGTGTTCTGGTGATCCCTGGCCAACAAAATAGATCCTAGGGGATCATTCCTGACAGGTGTAATGTAGAACAGGTCTTGGGCTGCTTCAAATTATGCCTGGGGCTAATGAAGATCCTGGCTGGCCCTAGGCCTGGGAGTTGGTGGTGGTGGAAAAGTGGCTTTGAGTCACTGTCTTCCTGTCTTTCCACTCAGGTCCCGTGTCAAGCACAGCTCATCTGGACCCAAAGATGTGACATTAGTATGAAATAATCTATCCAATAACAGTATCTTTGTGGTAGCAGGAGATGATATCTTCAGTGTATTTTTTCACCATACTAGGGAAACACTGAAAAATACTGCTATTTGAGGAAAAGTTGCAAATTTAGTATCGCATGACCAGAACCTGCATGATTCAAGTGCCAAGTAGTTATTCTGTGTCAATGTAATTGTGTTGAAAGGATTTATTTTACTTTCATATCATTCAGAAATGGTCCTTATGGGGTATCCAGATATAAATGTTTTTTAAACTGATCTTAGTTAAAATTAAATCTTCTTTCTTGAACCTGAAATCTAGAACAATATGTGACAATCCTGGGTAGAAGTGTAATACAGAATTCGTGTGGTTAAATGTAGGATTTACAGAAGATTACTGCATTTTCTGGGTCATAGGGTGAGGGTCAGACTATTACTATGAATAATGCTTTCACAAACCATGCAGCAATACTTTTTAAAAAATAATGGCTTTAACAGCACAGGAACTTTGTTGAGGAAATGACTGGGAAAAAATCTTTCTAAATTCTCTGATCTCTCCAGGATACCTCATTATTTTGTGAAAATTTGAGAGTTCAGTCTTTCTAACCTTGTCTGAGAAGCCAATCCATGCATTTATGACATATGGTCTAAAATGCATTTTTCATGTCTCCTTTTATCCACTCATGTCACAATTTCCTTTTCATTCTGAAATAGTAAATTATCTACTGTATGCCATATTGGAGTAATTAGATCCATTCTCAGCCAGATCTTTTAGAGCCACACACATCAGATTAAAATAACCGGTCTTTATAACTGATAACTTTCACTGCTAAATAAA